AGCTATAGGTACATGTAGTGTAGGTGATGGGCTAAAAATGCATTTTCAAATTTGCAGTATTAGATTTAAAAATAGGAGAACAGAGGAAAGTTAGGATAGAAACAAAAACCAGACTGCTAAACCAACTGCCTGGACCTACAGCTGGAATAACAAGGATAATTAAGACCTGGATGTCTGCCATCCTGTATAATAATAATACATTCCATGTGCTTTTTTATCCAAAGATCACACAGTGCTTTAGAAAGGTGGTTTAGTATTATAAGCTCCATCACAGAGGGAAACTGAAGCACAGAAATGTTCATTGACTTGCTCAAGGTCACACAGCCAGCCAGTTTCAAAGAAGAAAACAGAACCCAGAGCTCTTCTTTCCCAGCCCTTTGCGCTTAACTAATGCACTACTCAGGCTCTCCAACACATATTTCAGAATGTTTACACTCATGTCAGGATACAGAGTGAATCCATGTGAGTGTCCCTTTGTAGGAAATGAATTGTACAGCCAACAGCATACTCGAGGAAATAAGCATGGCCTACAAAGACTGAAAACACAAAGTAAGTCATAGATAATGGGCTCTAAGTATGTTCTGTTGTCAGAGTATTTTGCACCTTGTCATAATCTTTTCTGGTTGGTCATTTTAGTAACAATGGAGCTCCAATAAAGTCTATTTTAACCCCACACACTTATGAAAGTCAGAGAAAGACAAAGATGAGAAGAAAATTGTATCCTTTTAAGCTTACAGTATTTAAATAGTGTAGCAAATGCTCTGCACAAGGATAGACTCTTGAAGAGCTGAATCTTAGGTGGCAAAAAGGGACAGATTCAACTGGGGATCAAAGTGCAGACTTAATCTGAGATGTGACAAAATGCCAATGATATGCACCTGCTGAAAGAGATGTTGGTTATTTCTGAAAGAAAGTGAGAGAAAGAGGTACTATTGGAAAGTAATATCTAAGTGTTGACACATTATTTAAAAGGTAAATATGCCTGGGAGACTCATTTGTACACTTGCATTTATACAAGACCCTCATCTTCGTATAAATTATAAAAAAATCTTTAAATACAAAGGAGATGAAATAAGACAAATGACAACAGAAAATAATTGCTAAACGCATGCCTGAAATTCTGACCTGAGCAGACACGTTTTGTTAGATACAGGATCTCTGTTTACTAGTGGAGTGGGTGTATATGTATGGCACTGAAAAAGAGAGAACTCCTAATAAAGCTGTAATTACAACTCCCCAGAAATTAGTTTTCTAGTAGCTCTTAAAAACTTTCCCTAGGGACTGCACATTAACATGGTGGGAAGGCTTGTGTGTTCCAATTACCCTCTGAGCTATGCCAGTGGAAGTTATAACTCCTGGTAGGGCCACTCATGTCAGACAGGTCAAACAGGTAGGGACCAGACAAAAAGCAGCAGTCCACTGGTCCTCCAGGTTGGGCAGTGAGTGATAGGCCAACAATCTATCCTCATAAAAACATTAAGTTATAGAAACACAACAAGATAGTCAATCTGGCAAACAGCACAGTACAGAGGGCTATTGGAGCCTTGAATGTGTCTTAAGTAGCATCTCATGGCGCAGGAAGGAGAGAGGAGGAGGAAGATTATCTCTAGAAAGGCAGAGTGAAGTTTCTATAGTAGATTTAAAAACAAAAATAGTTTTATGTGCCCAACCAGCATTTCCCTTATACAGCTATATTTTTCATGGATTTATAACTATAAATATTTGGTCTACCCTAAAACACTGCCCAGTCCTCAGCACTAATGCACATATTTCTCTTTTACAAATATTTCAATAACTCTTGTGCTAAATTTAAATAAAATGACTTCATTGATTTCACAGAGACGTGGTGGGACAATTCCCATGATTGGGGTACCAGCATTGAGGGATATAGCTTGTTCGGAAAGGATAGGTTTGGGAAAAAAGGAGGAAGTGTTGCGCTGTATGTCAGGAATGTACTAGGGTTACCATATTTTGAGCCTACAAAAGGAGGACACTCCACGGGGCCCCGCCGCCGCCCCAACTCCGCCCCTTCCCCAAAGTCACCGCCCCAACTCCGCCCCCTCCCCTGCTTCCCGCGAACATTTGATTCGCGGGAAGCCTGAAACAGGTAAGGAGGGTGTGGGGGGAGGAGGCGCGGCCCAGGCTGGCCCCCCCAGTGTTTCCAGCCTAGGTCGGCTCGGGCCCTGGGGTGCCGGCCCCGGGCCCGGCCCCTGGCCGAGCACCCCCGGCCTGCCCAGCACTGCCAGTCCCCGGCCCGGCCCCCCAGCCGAGAACCCCCCGGCCCGCTCAGCACCCCGGCCCACTCAGCACCCCCTGGCCCCGCCGGCCCCCGGCACCGCCGGCGCTGGGACCCGCCGGTCCCCGGCCCCCGACACCGCCGGCGCTCAGCGCCGCCGGCCCTCGGCGCCCCCCGGCACTCGACGCCCCCCAGCGCTCGGCACTGCCGGCCCCGCATGTCCCGATTTTCCCGGACATGTC